CTGAATGCAAAGGACTGCTGGGAGCTAGATATAGAATGCCAGTTGAACCATACAATCACCTGCCCACCTCAGTGCATTTGTAATGACTTAGCTAACAAAGTCACTTTATTGTTTAAACCTACTAAGTTAAGATTTCTGCTATGCTACTTGCAGTGGAGAACTTCCCAGCTGACACAGTGGAATGAAACAGAATTAGATAGGCTACTTACTGAGGGTCCTCCTGAAACCTTTGTTATATTAATTGCATTGTTAGATTCACAAGAAGCATCATGTATATACTGTTTCCTATTTGTATTTGGATGTGGGTTTTCTTTCTTAGTGTCTCTTAGAGGCTAAGAACTAGTCTGACTTTCAGGTTTTACAGAAGTGGAAACTCAGGTCCAGAGATATCAGTGACTTTTCAAAGGTATTTCCCATTAGTTGCAGATTTGAGGTGAGAGAGAGAGAGAGAGAGAGAGAGAAAGCTCCCCATCGTAATTAATGATCACATCACAGTCATTTTCCTCCATCTCTCTGTCCTTTTGGGATTTGGGGCATGTGTGAACATGTGCCCAGTATATTTTTCAAGTTACCAGATCTGGAACTCAGCCACACAGTTAGCCATGTGAGGTCTATCCACCTTAACCACCATGCAACCAGCTGTCCCTGGACTGCATTCTTAAAGTCACACTTCCTTTTTGCTCGAAGAGATCCTCTCATTACGAATATACCTTAGATAAAGTACTTTTTTTTTTTCTGCAGAGATTCCAGATTACTAGGATATCATAAAGAAAAGGTTATAAATTAGAAAGTTTATAGGCAATATAGAACTTCAGAATTTAAAAAGTGTTTAAAAAAATTACAGAATTACATCAGTTACCAACACTTAACATTCAGGTTATTTCAAATAATGATAAAAATTTCTAGCTCCCCTAATAAAATTCAGACAATATGGCAACACTAGGTTTTTACTTCCACATGGTGACAATCAGCAGGAGCTGAGCGGCCAGTTCTATCCCCTGAGATGAATGCTCGGCCTCTCTAGTTTGCAACAGCCCCTATCATTCCCTATTGGATTATAATGCTAATGCCAAGTGTCAGTTGCTATTTATTAATACATGAGTAGTGTTCATTTTCTTTTCATATTTAGTCTACTTAATTTATTTATCTCTGGCCCTATGGATAATTATTTTGTTATACTTAAAAAGTAAACTTTTTCACATTTGTATACTAAAAAACATTTCTGTATTCCAGTAAGTTTGAAGTAAGACTGGGATAATCAGATAAACAGGTTTCTTTACTGTATATTTTTTTAGTTTTTCATGCACCATGGGTCAAGAGAGTGAGTATACATATTATTGGCAATGGACACCATTTTTTAGAGACTGTTCCTTTGTTGCTGTTGTTCCACTAAATACACATTGGGAAATACTGCCATGAAAACCCTTTGTGATCCTCCTTGCCAGTGAGCCATGGACTAATGTTCTGATTGTTATCACTTCAGTTTTTCAATGTCCCTTGGAGGCTATTTTGAATAGAACAATACCTCAGTCCAGGTCAGGCCCCTGCCAGCACAAGTGAGTCTGGTTTGATGAACACTGATATTCTCAAGAGCAGGTCCATAATTGTGGGGTGTTCTGGCACAGCAGGGAGAATAGTACAAGCTCATTATGGCCCATGTGCAGTGCATTCCTCTTCAAGGAACCAGCTTCCTGGCTGTGCATTTTTTTTTTTTTTATGAAAAAACACTCTCCTCCCAAAAACCATAAGCAACAGCAATAACAAAGGCATAAGACAGAAACAAAAAAGGGATGGCTGGATTGGTACCGAAAGAAAAACAGTACTTACTGAAAAACTGCCTCTTAGAAGAAAAGCAGCACACCTATGAGTTATTGCTTCCTCCCTTATAATTTCCTTACTCAAAGGTGAGGAATGACTAAATCTCAACTGTAGGTGCCCAGTGTGCTTACAGTAGTCAGGACAACTAGATCTAGCTGAAAACAAACAAATAAAAACCCTTCAGATTAATTTTTCTAGGTGTGCAAATATGGCCCTCCAAACAAAGAGGCTGGAAACTCATTTGCTACTGGACAAGCCTGAAGTTTCTCTTAGAGGCTCTTTGGAGACAAATAAGTCTTGGTATCAGAGAGTTGCTCTGGAGACCTCCCCTAGCAGTAACTTTCCAGCTGGGGTTTGGCTCATAAACTCTTTCCTCAGCGAGCTCCAACTTAATAACCTTTCATTCCCCTGGGAAGAGAATCTCTCCTTGGAAGTAGGCAGTCCCTAATGACTGGACTGCGCACCTAGAAGCAAGCCCCTTTTCATTCGAACAATGACCAGAGCTGCTGAGAAACTTCTGCCAAACTGGGGTTAATAAAGTCAGAAGGGCCTGTGGTGCTCCTTTGAGAGAGATGGATATGTTTTTCTTATTCAGCAAGAAGTAATGCCTGAATCTCCAAGCTATTCAGTCATGTAATCTGCTAAGCGCTAACTCAGAAAATACCCTTTGTCACTGTCCTCTCTCTGTAGACCCAGACTGGATCCCTTGTGGGTTTTTTGTTGTTGTTTTGTGAGTTGTCTCGATGTTGAGGCACACTCTTAACTCTTTCTTCTACAAAGTGAGATATATCCTATTCCTAACAACCCACTTTGGTCATTTATTTCATGCAACCTTTGTAAAGCAACAAGTATAATAAAATGATGTTATTTAAGTGATGGGACAGGTGGTATTTAGTCCTTGCTTTCGTTGAGACAACGTCAGAAAGAATGCTTAGGTATAGGCTTAATGATAGAAAAAATACAAATTTTCCATTATAAAAATAAAGCAATTGAAATTTGCATTTACTATTATATGTCACATGTAGTGTTAAGCATTTTCTAAGGATTCTTTCATGTAATTCTCACGACCCCCTGGGAATTGTCCCAGTTTTAGTAATGACAAAATGAAATTCAGAGGAGTTGCTTCACTTGCCTCAGGTCATGGAGTCAGTAAGTGTTGGCAAGTTTCAACCCTGGCAGCATTATTCCTGACTTGATTCTCCCAACACAATGCTCTGCTGCTCCTCTTCCCTCCCAGATTCCCAAACACACTTGAATGTGCTCATGACAACACTGGACTAAGAAAGGACGAGATTAAAAACAAAACAAACCTTAAATATCAGACACATTTGAAGCAGGTACCCAGATACCTAACGAAGAATTCCTAATTTTAAAAGACTGATTGATCACTTTTAAAAGCTTTTATCCTCACTGTAGAGAACTGAACAGATTTACTGAGATAAAATAATGATATTTTGTATTCCATCCCTTCTATAACCAGTAGCTGCAGTGGTGGTAGCCACAGAAAGATTTGGGCCAGCAAGACTTCCCCAGAGTGTTTTGGTTTACCTGTTATAGATGAAGCACTCTCTGTTATTGATGACTTTGTCAGACTTGTACCTCCGGTGGTCTTCCCAAGCATCCTTGATGGCAGTGACTGCCAGGATGACACAGATTGGTATCATGTTCACCTCAGGTTGGAAAGCATTTACCACTGGGACAAAATTCAGAATCGCAATGCCCACAAAATAGAGATTGGCAAACCGGTGGAACTGCTCAAAGATGTTCTTGGGTACGAAAGACAATATGGTGTACTTGCTGGTCTTAATTTGATTCCCAGGGTAATGTCTGTTGGGGTTTTCTTTGTGGAACCATCCTTCAAAATGCAGGTTGGAGACCACCACTCGTTTCTTGTCTTCTTTCCTTTTCCGCCTTTTGCTTCTTTCCTTTCTCATTTCTGCTTAATCCTGTTTCTTTAATCTTCATAATTTAATTCTCATCTTTTATTTGATCTCTATTTAAAATGTCTCTCTCTTCTTTCAAAAGTAAAACTAAAAATAAAAGCCAGTATATCCACACCAGGGGAGAAATATATATGACAAGGAAGGAGCTTGCAGAGAATGGGTGTGTATCCACCAGGCCACTTCCTTCTACTTGTTTGAGACTCCACCCTTTGGAATGTAGACGTCACCCACAGGTGTCTTCCTTTTCCACTCTGGGAAGCCAAGAACAGGTACACTGGGTCTTAAAGCCTACCTTGTTAAGTTCTAGAAGCTAAGAGGTTTTAGCCGAAAAACTCAAGTGCTTTATAAAAAGCATGTGTTTGTTTGTTTGTTTGTTTGTTTGTTTGGAAAGCATTGTCTGGAACCCTCCAAGGAGTTTCTCCTGAACTTAGTCTCCTGAGATGATCCAGTCACCCTAGAATCTACTTCTTGAGCTTTCAACTCACTCTTAATAATTTAACACCTTTCTGCTTAATGACATATGTGTTTACACAACTTAAATTAAGGTTTTTTTTCCCCTAGAGAATTATTTTATTTAACTTTATTTATTTACTTAGTTTAATTTGACCAGAGAGAAAGAGTGAGACAGTAAGCAATCAGGTCTGGGACTTGTGGGAGTCCAGCACCCTTAACCACCATGCCACCTGCCAGGTCCTAAATTAAGGTTTTTTAAAGGCTCAGCATTACTGACATTGTTTTGTGGGGGACTGTAGGTTATTGAGAAACAACTCTAACTTCTACCCATTAAATGCTGGTAGCACTCTTCCTCCCAGTATGACAACCAAAAATATCTCCAGGCATTACCAAATGCTCTCTAGGGAGTCAAAATAGCCCGCAGTAGAGAATTACTAAATTAAATTATTAAAAAAAAGTAATGTAAGAAAAGAGACCGGAACCAGAAGGTGACAGGGTGGTTAAGGTGCTGGACCCCTACAAAGCTGTTATGTGGTTCGGCAGCTTGAAAATCACTCCTGGCACATGTGCATGCATGTCCCAAATCCCAGGAGTAGAATGGAAGAGAAGGGATTGTGGCATGGCTATATCCCAGGAGCATGATTTCTTACTTTTCCTCTTTCTCTCTCTCTCTCTCTCTCTCTCTCTCCCCCTCTCTCCTCAGTGAGTACGAAAACCTAAATAAATAGATAGACAGACAGACAGACAGACCAATCCAGAGGCAACACAGAGGCACGATTCCCTCACCTTTCATATATTTGAATGTAGGAGCAGTTTATCTCTCTATCAAAGCGGTGTCTCTTAAAGTCCTCCATGCCGTCCTTCACCATGATGATGAACAGGACAATGGCCAATGGTAACATGGTGATTTCTTTGTGGAAGACTTCCATGGAGGGCATCCAGTTCAGAATCACCAGGAACAGGAAATAGAGGTTAGCCCATCTGGAAAGGGTAAGCAAGGTAACTATGGAGAAGAAAAATATACTTTCCACTTTATGCCCTATTGTTTCTTTCCTGCCACTGGCCTTTACCAACCAAACTGACGTTGTTTTTCAATGTCACCTCCAATGTTGTGGTAAGGGCTTTGAAGCCAAACTAATAGAGACTTAAATTCAGTTTTCATTGTTCACTAGTTGTGTGACCTTCCTGAGCTTGTTTCCTCTGTGTAAATGGGGGTAGTTCTACCTTCTTTAAAGAACTCTTACAATATTACATAGCATAATTAATATCTGTTAGGCACACAGTAGAGGATTCTGGAGCATCATAGCTGCTCGATAAATGGTAGCTTATAATTGCAATATTTAGGATATTATTTAAGTACATATTTTTATTTTTAATCAAAAACAGCTGCTAACGGACCAGCAAATGGCATAATGGTTATGTTGCTGGACTCCCACATAGTTCACATAGTTGACCATGGTTTCAGTCCTAGACCTGATGGCTTAAAACTCACACTGGACGTGTGTGTGTGCATGTGCCCAAAATCCTGAGAAGAGAATGGAGGAGAAGGGATTGCGACATGGCTATGCCCCTGAGGGTGATTTCTAGCTTTCTGTCTCCCTGTCTCTTCAGTGACCACATGCACCCTATAGCAAGATTCTCTCTCTTAAAAAAATGCTAATATATTGTCATGTAAGAGTGGTTTATATTTCCAAGTTTTTCAACTTCACCTTGCTCTCTCTTGCCACAGTGCCTTTGCACATGCAGGTCTGTCTGTAGGAACATTCTCTTGACTCCTTTTCTTGACTTCTTTCTACTCCTTTTCACTCAGTTATCACATTCTCTTCTATAGGTTGTACTTCAAGGATTATTTCTTCAGGGAAGTCTTCCCTGACTTCCTTAACTAAGCCAGATTTCTTTATTGCTTACTATAATAGTACCATATGCCCCTCTTTGGGAGTATTTATTCCAGATATAGTTTTATATTAATTTAGATAATTAAAAAATTAGTGTCTGTTTCTTTCACTAGACAGTTTGCTAAATGAGTACAATCTCTCTCTCCTTTCTTTCTCATGTATCTGTAGCACCCAGCACATGGCCTGAGACAGAGTAGGACCCAAGGAATATTTGTTGGATAAAAGAATGAACAAACTATTGAATGACAAAAACTTCCTAAGGAACATGCATTTGGATATTAAAAAAAGACAGCTCCAGAGTACAACATCACTGAGTTCATCTTAATGGCAAATACTTGGTTAAAATATGTATTGTTTGGACAAGGGGCCTGTACCTGTGAAACTGCTCAAAGAGATTCTGAGGCAGGAAGGTAAAGAGGGTGTATTTGGTTGTGCAGATTCGGTTGCCAGAGTATCTCCCGGAGACCTTCTCCCAGTCTTGGTGGAAGATGTTGTTGTTGGGGAACACAACCCGCTGCTGTGTCAGGTTGTGGCTCTGCCTTGCCTTCTCTGCAGAGAGCAGTGGGGTGGTTTCTGACAGCGGCTGACGGAAGCCATCCCTGACTCGACATTGCCACCGGTACCAAGAAGAGTCTGCTGAGAGCGCCATTTCCAGTAGCTGGTTAAGGTCTGATCAGAGACACAAGAACACTTTGGTTAGTAGAAATATGTAGCATAAAGACCTGTCACTTGTCCTCCCATCTATGCAAGGTAGACACTGGGACACAACGTGAGAAATAGACTCAGATCCTTTAATCCATATGTTTCAGGGTGAGAGATGTTAAAAAATAATCACATCAGTAACATCCAACTAACTCTGTGACAAGTGCAGTGAAAGCATTTGGAGAGGGTGCAGGGGGGAAGTGTTAATGACCTCACTGGAGCTTTAAGGGAAAAGCAAAATATGTCCACCTAAACCATGGCCTCAGAGGTCAGAATCCCAGCTCTGGTTTATTTCTAAGGTGAAACTGTCTCTTTATCTTGTTGACCTACACCTTTTTCACCTTAAAATGAAGAACAGTATTCTTCCTATGCTTTTTCGTTATTT